TATTTGGTGTATATCTATAGTCATGAACGACCAACGAAAACCCTGCTTCAGGGACAATTTCGCTCAATGTTGCAATGGTGGTCCCACAAGCTCGTTGCGTGCAAATCCTCATTGTCGTCAAAGGGTTAAGTAAAAGGCTATTAGTAGGTAGCAATGAAGTAACGCGCTGTACAAGTGTTCATTCACGCGATTTCGTGTAATTACCGGCTACGATACCTTATTTTCAGACTCTTGCATTAAGTCGCTATGAAACACCACAGCCACACTTTCATATCTTCGCTGCACAATTTAAAGATGTAAGTAATGTCGGTTCTTATAGATAATTACTAATTTCTCTATGTAAACAACTTTAATGCGTTATAAACTTTCTCTTATACTTCAATCCTTTTTGAACTGTACGCACCCTAGGGAAGAAGTCAATAAATGAATAATTTCAGAGTCCTATTTGCGATATTGTTGGTTCGCTATTGTCGCGTTCTTTGGGTTCCTTTGATTCGCTGTTCCCTCCTGTTTTATGTGAGTCGCACAGGTCAAGAGAGCTGTTTCGTCGCACATATTTTATGGGTTCGGTTGCTGAAGTCAATGCAGTGGTAATTTTTCACTTCCCTCCCCAACTTTACCCAAAAGTACTGAACGACCGAAGGAAAACATTTCAGATGTCAATTCTTCATTCCAATGCGTTGTCAAGCGTATCGTCGAACGAGTTGAGGGCTGAAATTGATGCTTTGCGTAGCCGTATTCCCAAGTTATTCTCAACAAGTTCCACACTCTGTATAGATCCACCTGCCGAATCAGTATCTGTTGCACAACCAAGATCAAATAAAATGAGGAACTTAGCTGATAAAGGTTAGTAAATCATTGTATTTGAGCAGAATTTCATGATGGGATTCTGTTCCCAACATAAGCGCGCTTACAAGGATCAGAGATCACGCCCCGCAACATTTTCATGGAACTCTCCCTGGCCACAGGTTAGAAGCCGGAGAGTTAACTTACGTAGAAGGAGAGCCGCGCATTTTTCCTTGACCTTTTTGAAAGTGATAGCAGGAAATACTTTGTCACGATTCTCTCGTTATTGCTTAACTGCAGCTCAATTTTTTTTATGGTTTTCCACTTACTTCTCCTTTGACTTTGCGGCACTCCATCGTACATAGGGCACTAGCAAAGCGTATTCACGCCAAATGAGTGTGATACTCGTGTTTATGAGGTCAAACGACTCTTGTGAAAAAATCTAGCCACAGCGAAGTTTTCATTCTTATTTTGAAATGAAGGTTGGCTACGGGTAGCAGAGCCTTACTAGTAGCTGATATCTTCGAAGCAGTCCCGCCGCTGCGCTCCTGTGTGCAGGGGAACTTTTATTCTAACCTTCGCCATAGAGGTGAAAGTCCCAATCACGTTTTAGCACTCGTTTTTGGCGTACGTGCTAATTTGACACCACAACCTGTTTCCGATCGTCACTAAGGACAGGAGGCGGCTCCGCCGTCAAATAAAATGTACCGCCGCGGCAATGCACACACTGTGCTATACCTTACGCGCAACACGTTTGAAAAATGGAGATAGAGGTTTGGAACGTTTCAAAAACCAAGTTCAATATCTGCTCGGGGGGGGGGGCACTCTGAAAAAACTTATCTAGGACTAAGCCTAAACAGCAGGGACGAACTCGGAGAACACGAAAGTTGCTTC